ATCAACTTAGAATAGTGCCTGAAGATTACTTCGTGTGGCTATAAACGACCGTTAAATGAAATGATGAATTTTTGAAGCATTTTGAAAACGGAAAAACTGATAGTCATGCTGGCCCAGCATCATCAACATTGGAAAATGCCCCGGCACGAAGTGGTTAAAGTTCAAGTACAATAGGATAATTTGTTTTTGACTACACTTCAGCCTAACATTTTTCCTCTCTAAAAATTCACTTAGATCAATAAGTAAAACACATGCACTGTATAAACTTCCATTTCAATTTCCACTGACCAGCTCACTCTTTTACTTTAAAGAGCAACTCTAAGGAATTACAAATTCTCTTGGCATGTATACATAGAAAGAGAATTACTATCTCATTGTAAGGGTGAGACCAAGCTGTTGAGAAACTGGTTGATGTGCTAAATGTGTGCAGTGAAGTGGGAGCAGGGTGTGGCTACATAAGGCATTGGTATGCGGGAGAGTTTCAGTTGCAGTCACCACGCCACACTGTTGGCTCTATTTTTTCCTCAGCTCGCTTATATCTTCACGCATGCTTGCAAAATGGATACCAATTCTGCTGATGAGATATTCTCTGATAACTCTGCTGGACTGTCCCACATTAACCTTTGCGATATTGGACAAAAAGCTTGACAAATTTAAGAGAGAGCTTTCTGAGGAATCTTCGGATCAGCTTCATTCCGCAGTAAAACCGGCCAAATTGACACCGGCAGCGTTCAAAAAAGAAGGCTGCAAACACCAATTCACACACAACGAAGAGATCAAAGATAAGTTTGAAGGCACAATTTCAAGTATTGATGAGGGAAACTACAGAAAGCTACAGATCTCTTGAAAGAAGGTATTTCCCTCACAGACAAGCGTCAAAAGATTACCAAAATTGCAGATACCCATGGCTGGGATACAGTTCAGGCTTATGCTAGCAAAGACCTTGCTAGTGATAGTGAGGATGACAAGCAGCTTTCAAGAGCAGTCAGACATGCAGAGTTCAAGAGACGAGAGAAGGACCGACAACGCCGCAGAAGCACCAGACGCCGTACTAATTTTCATCCCTCAACCTCCCACAAGACACCTCCAGAGTGCTCGCAACACCTCGCCAACAAGGGAAAGCTGCAACTAGATCTAACCAGACTTGCTGGGCTTGCAGACAGATCGGACACTTCCAGTATCAGTGTCCTCAAAGAGCTGGAGGACGACAGCAGTGAGCCTTTAAAGGTAAGTAGTTCTATTTGGTGTTTAGACCATGAAATTCAAAATGCCATCCTTGATTCCAAATTTGTTGGTGTCGTGGGTTGTTTGCACCAATGCAAGCAGTGTTGGTTCGATCACCTCGATCCACCTTTGTTCGTCACAAATATACTGGAGCACGGTTATATAATTCCCTTCCGAGGGTTTCCTCCTAAAGCCTTCTTGAATAATAACAAGTCCAGTTTAAACCATCCTGAGTTCGTTACCAAAGCAATATCATATTGTTAGCTATAGGAAGCATCACAGAACAGTCACCCCCCCATGTAGTTAATCCGCTTACAGTCTCCGTGGGAAAGGAACTAAGGCTTGTTTTAGACCTCCGACATGTTAACCAGTATACTTATCTACCCAAGCTCAAATATGAAGGTTTGCCGCTATTGGCAGATATGTTTTCGGAGAAGTTCTTTTTTTTACATTTGACCTAGAATCTGGCTACCATCACATATTTTTGCCCCACATCAAAAGTTTTTAGGTGTCAGTTGGAAGTTCGAAAAGGAAATTCGATATTTCATTTTTAACGTCCTCCCTTTCGGTTTGAACTCAGCCAATCACTGTTTTACCAAAATGCTAAGGCCCTTAGTCAAGAGATGGTGCAGTATGGGCCATTATGTATATTGATGATGGTATTTCTGGTCACTCAGATAAGGTTTCAGCTTTGGCAGCAAGTCAAATTGTTCAAAAAGACTTGGCACTCACCGGTTGGAAAGTATCTAGATCCAAAAGCGATTTCTGGCCCCAACAGTTAGGCAAATGGTTAGGAATGGTAGTTGATACAGTTTCTATGCAATTCAAGCTGCCAAAAAAGAAGCTGTCAAAAATTCAGATCGCTATGGACGAATGTTTGGCTAATAATACAAAACGTGTTCTAGTACGTGAGATTGTGAGAATCGCAGGTTTTCTCATATCTGCATCCCCTGCTGTAGGTCAAATAACCAGATTGTTTACACGGCATTTATACCGAGCCATCGAATCACGCGAAACTTGGTCAAGAAAAATTGTATTGTCTCCAGGTTGTATTTCAGAATTACAGTTTTGGCAGAAGAATCTAACTGACATTAACGGTCAGCCTGTGGCGCCCTTGCTAATCGCCACTTTTACAGTTTATTCTGATGCGAGTGATTATGGTTTTGGTGGTTTCTGTGTGCAGTTCACAGATTCCTTAAGCACAGGTCTATGGTCAGACTCTGAGAAAAAAGAGAGTTCGACAAAAAGAAAGCTCAGAGTAATGCTTGTATACATTGTGTTCCATAGGTCCAGAGTCGTCCAGCCATAAATTGAAATGGTTCACAGACAGTCGGAACGTGTGCCGGATTATTTCGGTTGGAAGTACAAACTCAGAGCTTCACGATCTTAATATTGAGTTATATAACACCTGTTTGCAATTAAATGTAACCATAGAGCCAGAGTGGCTCCCCAGGGAGCTAACCCCACTTGCAGATCAATTAAGCAGAATTGTTGAACCAGAGGACTGGTCGCTTAACTGAAGTATACTGACCTTAGACAAGAAATATGGCCCACATTCGATCAACAGATTTGCTTGTTACCACAACACTCCGTTACCTCAATTTAATTCCAGATATTTGGGCTCCCAGCTGCGAGGCTGCGGATTGTTTTACCCAAAATTGGTCATCTGAGAACAATTGGGTTTGTCCTCCTGTTACCATGGCATTAAATGCAGTAGGACATATGATGAAATACAAAGCTGTTGGAACAGTGATTGTTCCACAATGGCCATCCTTGCCATTTTGGTTGGTTTTATCTCCCCGCAGTGGAGTTCTCCGGAAGTACTTGGTTGATTTCAAGATCTTGCCAAATACCCCAGATTTGTGAGTTTTGGGTAGAGGTCAGTCTATTTCATATAAACCAGGCAAACGGCTTTTTCAAGGCTCGCTCAGTTTCAAACTCAATAGCTTTGAGATATGATTTCAGACAGGCCTGAAGTCCGCGAACAGAATTTCGAAAATTGAAGTTCAACGATCCAACGGCAATTATCGCATGCCAGAAACTACAGGCACGACGCCTCCTGTTAGTTATAGTAGTACTTTATACCATTCACGAGTACAGTCCACGAGAGACAAAGTTTTAACCCGCGTTTGGTGGTTTGATATATATTTGGATAGGTTAGCCCAGAGAGGCTTGTAAGATTGAGGCCCATGAGTGGCTATAGTTAAACGCAGTTGTTTTGTAATTTACTTGCGTACTCGGTATACTTTATGTAGATATTTTTTCTGTTAACTAATTCGAATATTAGTAACACACTTTTCTGATTTTCAGTTGTACTGAGTCGAGGTGACTGGAGAGATCTAGCTTCAGAAAACGACATAAAAGACAATGAATACCTCAGCACACTGGCTTCATCACTTCAGGACACCGTATTAGCATTGAAGGCGTAACAAACGTAGCCTTAAACCAACCAGCAGACCACTATCTTATGGTACAGTAAGAGACATCATTCGCAAGGGCCTTAGTCAATACGTTGATAATGTTGCATCTTTGGGCACGCACAGTCTCCGAGCAAGTGGAGCCTCTGAAGCCGCCTCAAACTCATCCATTAATGAAAGATGCATTGTAAGGCAAGGAGGATGGAAATCCTCTTTGTCCAAGGACATGTACATAAAAGATTCTATGTCAAATAAGATCCCAGTCACCCGAGCTATGAACCTGTGAGATTTAATCCATTGTTTGGTAACGTGATATTATAATTAAAGTCCAAACTAGGTTTAACCACTTCATGCCGAGGCATTTTTCAATGTTGATGATGCTGGGCCGGCATAACTATCATTTTTTCCGTGTTCAAAATCCTTCAAAAATTCATCATTTCATTTAAAGGTCATTTATAGCCGCACGAAGTAATTTCTAGGCACTACTCAAAGTTGATAGGTGATCGCGTATTTCAGCCAGGCCTGCAGCCTTGTAAACAGAGCCCAGATTGTGCAGTGTTGTATAACTGTCTTTTGTTCTTGAACCTGGCTCAGTGCACTGCTGACCTCTTTTCAATAGGGGCCAGATTTGCGTGCAGCGGTGCTGTGTGGCTCATTGCTGCAGTGGTGGAGTGCTTTTGTCCCCGGTGGTAATCCGCTCACTCTCAATGCCCCAAACCCTGGTATACGCTTTCAAAACAAGGCTGGATTATCACCACTTTTGAGAGTGAAAAATGTCGCAGCCTGGTCTTTTGTTCGGAGTAAGGTTTTTTGTTACAGGGCCCTGTTTCCTTTGTCCGAGTTCGGAGACCCCGGCCACACATATAAACCATAAGTCTCCGATTCCAGAGTCCCCGGCAGGAAGTGGTTAAAGATGTTTCAGCCACTGTTATGTTTAGTAAGTAACAAAACTTTTGTTCGAGTTGGTGACTGTTTGCTACAGCAAGAGTAAAACAGTTATACTACAAATTTATCATTTATCTGTGTATTTTGGCTGGGCTGTCGGAACATGAGATAACATGTTTTCTCTGATTTTTATCTGTTCAAATAAATTGGAAACATCCAAATCGAAGAAACAGTCGTTTGTTTTCAGAGCTCAACTGTAACAAGCTAAAAAGGGCTTTTTATCCTGTTCATGCCAAGATGCGAATTCTGAACATGCTGAATGTAGATAGCGACATTCTGAGAAAACAGAGAAAACGAGGGACACCCTCACCCTATGTTCATAGTGGATAAACCCTTGGCCATTGTTTGGCTTGCACAAGAGAAATTATCCACTACGAACACAAGGTGAGGGTTCCCTTTGTTTTATATGTTTTCTCAGAATGACGCAATCTACATTCAGAATTCGCATCTTGGCATGAACAGAAAAAAAGCCCTTTTTAGCTTGTTATAGTTGAGCTCTGAAGACAAACAACACTGCGTTTGATTTGGATGCTTCCCTACTTATTTGAACAGATAAATTCAGAGAACACATGTTTTCCTTTAGGTTGCTCTTTAAGACATGCAACTTTGTAGCATTTTTCTATGGAACATTGCATCTCTCAGTCTTTCCCTACAGACACAAGGAGTGCATTTCTCTATTTCCTTATTATGTTCTTTTTTTTTCTTTCTGAATACTTTTCTAACTCTAAAGGCTTGGGTATCAAAGGAATATTCAGGCTTGTGTGGAACCCTTGTACATGTGATGGCAAGAAGGTGAGATTTACCTTGTGCAATGAGGTTCTTTCGACAAGCTGGAAGGGGGCAGGATCAATGTGGACCTCACTAAAGTCCAACTGGACTTTCAGCTCATCAGCTTCCCATTCTTCTTGCTGTGTGAATGCAAAGACCAGGAATGCCCATCAATTAGGATTGGTTATCAGGCACAAGACTTGGACTATGTTGTCGAGGGGCTTCTACCCTCCCCCTCGGCTCTGTCGGGTTAATGCTCACCAATGAAAAGGCTGGTGTATTCACGCATTAGGGTAAGTCCTTTCTCCCCTCTGTGCACAAACACCCCCTAACAGGTTACATATAGATTCTGAGGAAGCTTTTAATTATCAAAGACACTGTGATCCTCGAACCTACTGTGAACTCTCCAGATATGTGAAATGACTGCATGTACTCTGCACCAGGCATGTATGTGAACAATCATGTGTATCAAGAAAGACTGATTCAAAACTTTTTGATGTAAAAAGCTGTGCATGCAGGGAGCCCATTGCATTTTTCAAACAAGTGTCTGTAAGTCTCAGGGAGTAAGGCCGAGTTTGTATCCAGTTTCAATCAGTTGCAATCCAGACGTGATGCAAAGACCAAATTTAATCATCAACCACTGGTCAACTAGTGGTCAAATTCTGTTAGTAGCCAGAGTTTATGCGTAGGCTACCACAGAAAGTGAACCAATGTTGATAAATGGCCGGAAATAGAACTTGGTCAAAATATCACCGTGCATGGAAATGAAATGAGAATCAATGTTGTTGCAGTGTATTTGGTAAATATTTAGCAAAACTTTAATACACTGCTCAAACTTGTAGGAGATGTAGTGTAGAGACATTTTTGCTTGGTGCCATGACGGAAACCCCAAATGCAACAAATTGAATGTAAAATGCATTGGCAACAGATTAGAAACTCAATCAATCATAGAGTTCACTCTCCAGAAATAGCACTCAGTTCTATTACGGTTGCTTCTCTTATGGTCCAAAATTTCCACCATCATTGGCTGGCCTTTTTTCATTCTGAATTATTCTCAGAAAAACACAACCCATGAATTATGATAAAACTGCACAGTAAATACGTGACAACTGTTTTCAGCAAAAAACTTTCTTTTTGAATTAAAAAAAAACCACCACATCTTCTAAAGGTAGAGTCCATCATTTGTAATTTTTGTGTGCTGTTTCTTTGAGGCAACAAAATTACTTGATATCTAAAGAAAGGTGCCTGATGAAATTTGACCTCAGTGAATGCTGCATAATCAGAGAATAACAAGTTTTAGGATTTGGATTTCAGATCAAAAGTTGCTGAGTCATGTCTTGAATTGCACCTGAATTCTGCATCTTGGGACATGTTCTCACATTCAGTGGAATGCATTTACGCGATGCCGCGCACTGCCAATGAATAGTAGTCACGGCGCACATGTGTGCTGTTTCAACGCTTGTGCACGATTCTGACAGCAATTATCCAAAAATGCATCCTTAGACACATTGTTGGAAATTGTATTCTTTCATTATTTTCTTCAAAATGAAGGCTTGCCAGAAAGAAAAATTTGCCAGGGATGTTAGTTCCCTAATCAATCATCTTTAAACCAAGTATGCTTTTAAGAATACTTTTGTCATTTTCTTTTTGGGTATCTGCAAATGATGGACTGTACCTCCAACAGAGCCTCAGGAAAAGCACCCAGCCTTCATAAACACGTTGGGAATAGTCTATGTTTTCAACATTTTGAAGAAAACTGATGTAACAAAATTGAAGTATTTATCATGGCCAAAAAATGGAAAATGGAGTGGTCTGCTACTTCTGTGACCTGTGTTTCTTTTAAGCTATTATGCTGGATGACACTCAAATGTAACTTCGTAAAGCAACAGATAACAAACTACACATACATACCTCCTCCACTGACATGTCTTCAAACTCTCCAATTGGCTGTAAAAATCAAAAATGCACAGACATGGAATACATGTTGGATTGATTTGGATGTGATTTTAAAGAGTGAACTCAACACTGTCCTATATACATGTACCAACAAACAGCATGCACAAGCGTGAACAAAATGGGTCATTCTTTAGTACTTTTTGTTTCTTTGCACACTACACTTTTGCTTACAGTTTGACAGATTGCAGAGAATAAATACGGTTGATTTAGTTTCAGAAGACAAAAACGTCTTTGCATTCAGGCTGTCCTCCAAGCAGTCATACCAGCCAGTTACTTGGTTAGGATCTGCATATGCTGTTACTACATCTTCATTGCACATGTAGGTGTTCATCAAAACATCACAGGAGACAAAAATCCTGACAGCAACGACACCCTGACGTTTCTTAAGTTCAAATCAAACCTGCTACTTTACCAGTTATATAAAAAAGAGAGACTGAAATTAAACATTATTTTTGCTTTGCTTTTTTTATGGCATAAGATGATGAGATGCTGTACAGATTCTGAGATGCTGGAACACCAAAGAAATCTGTGTCCTGCGTCAACATGCACCAACAGTCAGGATCCAATTACCTGATTCAATGAAAAGGAGAATGAATCTAACTTTGTACATAACAAGAAGTACCAAACTCCAATGAGATTCAGTGCGCTTGTACATGGTGCCTTGTGGGGTACCGGAACAATGGAAAGTATCCCACAAGCCAGTTTTGATCCTTGTGGGGTACTAAAGTGGTAACCCACAAGAATTTCACGAAATAGATATTTCAAATTAACTCAAAAAGGAGGAATTTTCAAGTGCCATTCATCTGTCGCAAATTGAAGTGTTTTATGTAAGGGACAAACGGTCGAAATTTAAACCCAAGAAACTGAATTTGGTTGAAATGGCAGTGATTTGAAATTTTTTCTGTGTTGTGTGGGAGTTTAGTACACGAGAACAAACGAAATACCCCACTGGTATACATATGTAAGGGTGCTTGTGTGTGTAAGTGGACAGTGTTGGGGGAGAAGATATTAATAACATCATGTCGAAAGATAAAAGAATGTGACAGGAAGAATCTGGGAGAGAAGCAAACACTGGAGAAACTGCCAAACTAAGTCAACTTATAGAGGAAGATATTGTGGGTGGTGGATAAAAGGTAGGAATACAACCGATCAGAAGATCAAACATCAAAGGTAGATTTGTATTGGTGAGTTGCATGCATGCGATTAAACACATTAATATCAATCCTAACTAAAACAGTACATTAAAAAAAGCGGTCGGTATTGCAAGCTCTACATATTAGAAATAAATACAGGTAGTCTGCATAAATATTGGAAACGTAACAAAAAACCCATTGAAATGTTCAGAAATCACCAATTCATACATTTGCTTGAGAAGACAAAAAAACAGTGAATTCATTTACTACATGCATCTGGGGTTTAAATGAGCTTAGACAAGGGGAACAAGGGGCATCCTCTTGGGTCAACTCATTCAGAAATATTGGGTATTCAGTCCTTGACAAAAACAAAAGAAAGTCACAGGATCCACTGGGAAATGCTCCTCCAATTTCATTTCTTGGAAACAAGATTGTAGCCACGATCACATTGTCATTCAATCACCAATTTGACTGCATCAAGCATTAATCTGTCAATGTGTAGATATGTCTCAGTCAAAAAGATGAGCAGATTTGATGACTTCAGTTATCAGTTTTGTTAGTCTGTTAGCTCTTTGCATCAGTCTTCCATAATCTACCGGTATAACTCAAAGTTTGCTTCTCTACTTTGAGCGAGCTCACATTGAGCACAACACTGGTTCAACTTACCAGCTTATAGACTCGGACCTTCTTTTTGGTACCCTCCAACGAGTCGGTACTAGAACTCTGTATGCTATCTCTGGAGCCATAGCGCCTAAACATACCCTTGATAGTGAGAATACAGACACAAAATAAAACCCGCACAGAAGCATGACAGACAGACAGACGAACATATACTGTATGTGGACGAGCAAACCATCCAGGTTAAAAGTCTCAGATCCACTCATACAAATTGGTGCATGTGCACTGATCATCAACATGTTAACTATTCCACATGTGAAGGTACTCTTCAAGCCTACACAAGTTCAGCTTGGGAATATCAACCATACACACATGCAAGGATCATTGAGGGTACCAACAAAATTGAGAAAAACTTCATTTTGCACGTAAACCTTTTTGAGTTGCACTGTGTTTTATAGTATTTCTTACGCTTCTACTTTTGCACAAACGGTATATCTATCTTGTGTTTGGATGGCATGAAACATGGTGTTTGCTGATTCTGCTTACCACTACTGTGGCCTACAGCACTAAAATGCTAAGATGTCAAACATTCTTTTGCAATTTTCTCTATAACAAATACAGCTTCTCATGTTAGAAATTTACATTTCTCATAGGCAAGGCTTCATGTATCACCACAAAATATCTTTTGTTCTAGTTACTAAAACCAAAACAATCACACACACACAAATGGGGGATCTTATAATTGAAATTGTGGGTACAACTTTGTAAGTGGATCACTTTCTAGAGAGATTATTAAACATAATTACATTGTAGAGTGTGGGCAGGGTGGCACCATGACAGATAAAATCAAGAAAATGTCATCCAAAATCATAAACAGTTCAAAGAAATGCAGGTAACAGACATTCTATAATCAAACAAAATGCTGAAAAATTGACAAATAACATTCCCTTAAAATGGAATGCAACAAGATGCAGTCAAACCAAAGAAAAAAAATGCTGCTTCAATTCCTTCATACAAACTCATGAAAAGAAGTACATAACACCTCATCCACGAATTCTGTATCTTAACTGGCCAAGAGCCAGTCCCATAGTATTCAACATTTTGGCTACCTTCTTGTGCTAGGCCAAAAGAACTACATACTAAAGTACTATACCAAATTACCAATAGCAACCAAGGAACTATGTGCATGAACACTGGTACTGTGTGTAAATGCATACTGGTGTGTATGTTGCTTGCATTCAGAAAGCGCTCGCGCTACAGAGCCGGGTTGAAATATTTTCTAAAGAGAAAGTTTTGAAAAGTGCTGGTAAATTTTTGACAAATTTCTCATTCAAATAGGCGTGCTTACATGTAGTTAGACCAAATTAATCAGATATTGCTTGATTCAAGCAAAAACTGGGGGAGAGGTGTTGTAAAAATATAACCCCCCCAATTGATCCATTGCCACATTCTAGTTTCCAAAGGCTTCAGGAAAACAGAATTCTTCATATATCACCTCAGGAGGCTAGGTTTACTGTACCTTGGGAGGCTAGTTTTACTGTACCTTAGGAGGCTAGTTTAACTA